CATCTGGTCGTCATGCGTAACGAGGTATCTCTCTCGTATAAAAAGAGTTTGTTTTGCAGTTTTATTAGTAAAAACGCCCGTTATTTCTGGTGATGTCTAGGTTTTACATCTGGTCACCAGCATAATGAAGATGGTTGAACTTTCTAGCCATTTGTATAATATGATATACATAATGTGACTGTAGACGACCTTGGTTTATTGGAAACGTGATAAACCCATAGCATATGCCCCTGTCTCCCGGCTGGTCAGCCATAGCATCCCTCTGAGTTTGCCGATTGGTGTTTGAGGTCATAGCTCTAGTTAGGTTCTTCCATATTTTAAGGTGTTTCTTTTCTTTTTCTGTTTCTTTTCTTTCTCCTATGTGTTTAAAAGATTAAGCAAACAGAATTTTTTTAAATCTTATCCTGGTGGAGAGCATGTCTATGTTTTAACTAGTTCGATTCTAGTCTAAGATCTTGACAATCATATTTTAATTTTTTTAATTTTTTTTTTTTTGAAATATTAAGAAGCTCTTTAAAAATTTAGGGCGAAAATTCAATTTAAATCCATAAAATATATTTATATAATTCCCAGAATGAGTGTGCGGTTATTTCGTTTGTTTATTGAAAATGTACAGTATGTAGAAAATAATGGTTTGATTGGCGATAATAAGTTTCACGATTTAACAAACTTTAGTAAACTTTGTTTTTATACTGACAATAAGAAATGATTGGTAAAAATTGAAATTTAGTTAAAATAATTATTATTGAAGATGAATCTAGGATCTAGTAGAATATAGGGTTAAAATAAGATTTTGGTTATGAGAACTTTTATTTGTTTCTTTAGTTTCTATTTTAAAATTTTTAAAATTTAAATTCAAAAAGTTTTTAATAGTCGATATAAAGTTAAGAAATTGATACTCATATTTAATTTGATGTGGCAGTTGTGGCACGCGGATTTGGATTTCTATAATAAAAAAATTTTAAACCAATAAAAATTTGAGAATTGAGATAGCGTCTAAAAACTTTGAAAAAATTGATTGTATATTTATTTATATATCAAGTTTAGTTCTTTTAATTCGAGCAATGTCTCATTTTAAAAAATGAATTTATAAAGCAAACATGTATCTTAACATGTACAATTATTATATTAGAAACAAGAGTTCATGTTTAAAAGGGGGAGTTAGGATTATAAAATGTAAAATATATAATATATGAAATGTGATTTATTTTGAACTTGTTCATATTTAATAAAATCATGACATTCGAATTTATAATTAATCATAAATGAGTTAATAAATTTATAAATTTAAATAAATAATTGAAAAATTTACAATAATTTATTATCTTTTAATACACACCAAAGAATGAGAAAAAAAAAAAAATTTTAAGAAAAAATTATCATTAAATAGATTACTATGAAGGGAAAAAAAATTTTAAAAAAATCAGTTTGAAAAAGATCAAAAAAAAAAAAAAAAAAA